GTTTGTTTGTTCAAAATTAAAAGGTTTCTGCATGAGCAAATTCCTAATAATAGGCTTTTAACTGCGGTGTCCACTGCCTCATTCGAACCAAATATTTGACCCGTTAGTCGAATAGTTACATTCTTACGTTACCTTAGCCAGTTCCAAATCCCATCAGAGCTGAGGTGTTTGGGTTAAACAGTTCCTGGAAAGCACTGACAACTTGCCTTCTTGACAAGTGAATCTTGTCTTTAGAGACACTCGAGAAAAACAAGTTTTATCTTTTCAACGTGACAATCTTTTCCTGTGAGTTGCATCGGCAACTGAGCCTGACGATAAAACGGCAGCTTTATTTTGCTTCCTAAGTTCCAAACCAGATCCCGTGTCTTCAGACCGTGGCCGGAGACAAAGAGATCGCTGTGTCCTGGGTCCAACCCACCGGGGGAGTTGACGGGTACACGCTGGAGCTGAGCGGCATGGGTAGCAGGAGTCAGCAGGAAGTCAGCGAGGCAGCAGACATCAACGACGGAGAGGCCCTTGAGTACGAGTTCCGAGAATTGAGGAAGGACTCTACCTACGACTTGGTGGCCTACGCTTGGGTACGGTACAACGGGATAAAACTGTACTCTGCTACGGTTGAATACCAAGTGACAACGAGTGAGTTGACTGTTAGAATCCAAAGAGAATAATAGGCAATGGCAATTTCTGGAGGCTCATTCGTGGCAAAAATTAAGTTGTCACAAATGGGTTGAACCGAATATGGGAGCAATTTGAACCTTCTAATAAAGGACTTTTAAAAATTAATATAGCGATTGTTTGCCGGTGACCAACCGTATTCATTCAAAGTCACTAGTTAAGCAGCAATGCCAAACAGCTTTCGTAGCAAGACATATGACAGGTTTAACAATATTGCCTGACATCTCGAAATATTAGCGTCTTGTTTGTGAGACAGCAAATTTTGACGAAATGCAAACTATTACCCTAAGTCCCTCTTGTTTTCTACTCACAATACCAACATCGTCGCATTATAAAGAAGTTTGCTTTAGCACTATCGATATTATTTCATGTCATTAATCCATATACCTTCACTATTAAACTGTTCATTTGTAACATGTATCGAATTGCACAATTTCATACATCAATCCAAGAAATTAGGAAGGTCATGTTTTGTCATGGTCACTCAGTCTGGTGCTCTGAGCCTTCGCGCGTCCAGATCGCTCTTATGGAAGCTACATGTAATTTCTACACATAATATCTTCGAGCCCTTGGTGGTTAAATTCGTTTGGGTAATCACGAGACTCAACGCTTTCGTTGCTCGTAACGCATGCACAATGAATGCACGTGCTTTCGGAAGACCCACAAAGCTTTACGCGCCTCAGTTGTGACGTATTTCCTTCACAAAACACAATGTAAGGGCGCTGGGGACAGCTGAAGTTGTTGCCTGTTTATTTTGGCGTAAAACCAACTGTTATTCCCATCTTCGAATCAATCCAGCGTCTAAAAACAGTCAGGAGGAAGCCTCAGCGCCTTGTGATCTAATTGTATCCACTGCTGAAGCATATCCCCCCGGCACCACCGAGGTTCATACCCACGCAGACTACACCACACCTGCTACATTCTGTCCAGAGGTCAGTCAAAGTGATTGCAATACATGAACGTTGGAAGCGGTTTAAAAACGGACATAGGAAATAATCCATCCCAGTGTATGTAACCGGGGCCAGATAAATTGTTTGATTGGCACTAGACACCTATATTCTGTATAGGATACTGAGTTTTCTGTCAATTTGTGAAAATGCCGTCGACTTATTAATTTCCTTAGCCTCAGTTATATTCAACCATTAGTGTGGTTGTAAGAAAAATTCATGTGAAGATGGAACAACGCGAAACTGCCTGACAGAAAAAAAGTAACGCCTTAGCTTTCACCATACCAATTGAAGTCAAAGTCTGCGAACGGAACACTCGTAAATATTATGCATGAAAGTACAACTTGAAGCCAACTTTATGTATAAAAACAAAGGACAAAACCATAATTGCTTATTAAGAGGCGGAAAACATTGATTCTGTTTTCGTAATGAACAAGGCTTCTTTGCCTCATGTGCCCAGTTCCATTCGCCATATTCTTTGTTCCGTATCACTCTTATTGGGGCTTATTTAATCTTCGTAGGTTGATTTTGACGAACCAACAACTTTTCCACGTACCACGCTCGACGCTTCAACCCCCGCAAGTACAACTTCAACAACGATGGGTCAATCTGGCAGAGCAAATGGGCAACAGTCAGGTGCAACTACATTGGCACCCTCCACAACGTCAGAACATCCTCAAACAGTTGAGTCAACAACTGAAGGACAAATTACCCTCTCGTTTTCATCAACGGAAGGCATTCAAGCAGCACCATCAGTGAGCGCCACCATCCCTACTCTGCCAATCATGCCAACTTCAGGACAAGTACAGACAGCTGGATCAACTGACGGAGAAGCAACTTCCAAAGTGTCCACAACAAAACGTCACATGACATCTGCCATGGCCTCAACCCAGCCGCCATTGCACGCAGCATCTCTTGTGACTTTTGAATCAATGCCTACAGAGGCGTCAACAGAATCGACCACATTTCAACAGACAACACAACAGAAAATGTCTACCATACTCCACTCCAACCACGTTAAACATTCAAAAAGTGTAGGAGTCACAGTGGATTTATCAACAACGCCATCCACACAATCTATCGTCAATCAACAAACAGAGGAAACAAAAGCAAGCACCGTTGCTGTGCTCACGTTGCCCATAACACCCCATTTTGCAATTGAAACAACCACAAAAATATCCAGCCCAGAAAGTGACATGCAAAAAGTAACACCAGTCGTGGAGTCGCTGGAATCAACCGCCGACGCACATACTGCATCGGAAACAATCAGCACAGCTCATGTATCGTTGGAACCTCAAATGGTTTTACCAATTTTTGCATTCCGTACCTCATCTCAAACTACTAGAACCACGACAGACATAGTTTCCACCGAGAGTTACAACTCCCTTGATCCTTCATCTTCAGCAGAACACATTTCTGCATCCGAACTCTCCGTCACATCCTCTTCCTCAATGCTGCCCACAAGTACGAGCGTTGAGTCATCAACAGAATTCGTCGATGACGGCCTTTCCTTGGCACTACCTACAGGATTATCGACGCCTAATCCCACTTCTGCAGCCAATCGTAGGCCCGATCGTCCGCCTGGTCTTGATTTACCGACTGTAAAACTAACTAATCAACCGTTCAAACTCACAACTGCTGTAGACATTATAACAGAACCATTTAAAAGCACAGGTGATGACGAAGGGATAAGCACTACAGTGATGTACGACGTCCAAAACTGGACTAAAATATCAATTTTCGATTTGCAAAGATGTCTTGTGTCTACTTCATCGTCAGGGACCAAAGGTGCGTTTAAACTGCGACAAAAGAGCAGACACAGTACTTGCTCAATGAAACTATCCGGTTTAAAATGAAGGAAAAATGATGCTCTAGTATTAGACGTCTCACAGGCAGTTAATATCATGCATTTATTGCATTGCAATTTTCGTACGAATACTTTCCCTAATTTTTACAGAGTGTCATGTACCATCTCACCCTATTCCTCCGGAGAAACTTAATGACTAGTTTGTCATTCGTCTCTTTTCCTCCCCAATTCCCATTCAATTAACAGCTTTATAACCTAATCTTATAAGAATCTTGTTTTTCCAGGTCATAATTCAATGTTTACAACGAGAAATGGCGACACAGTAACCGAACTCATTGTCTCTATTTTGGAGGTCTTCCTGAATAAGGTTTGTCTTTTTCTCGAACGAATGGGTCCATTAATTGTTTTTGGCACTCTTCTGCCATTCCTGGTTAATCAGATTGACTTTTGTTTCATTTCAGTCTAAAGCCATAACCCCATTAACTGACATTACCGCCCTCTTGGATTGCGTCTACGATATGGATGTGTCCCTGACCATGCAGAAGTTACCGTGGCCAAGTATTATCGAAGCACTACTGGAAACTGCGGTGCAAAGTCTTTTGCCAACCTTTGAAGCGACTACCACAATTCGGATCAACAATCATCGGCTAGCTGGTGGCACAGGTGTGTGCAAGGGTCATGGAGGATTTCGGGATAAGAACACCGTAAATCGCGTAAACACACCCTTTGTTGTATCATGTCGAAAAGTCCACAATTTTTGTTAGACGGGAATTCCGAATCATGAGACAATGCAAACCATCGTAACCTTTGTCGGACAGTATGGTCCGTGGGATGGGACGGGTCTGGTGCAACCCACTTTGGAATCGATAGCAACCACTATTGTTTAATTCGAATCCTTCAAGGTGTCTTTTCATATGTGCGTGTCTTGGGTGCGTTGCGTACCTGATGCTTCATGCGTTTCACTTTCACGCACACAAAAATCAACTCCATTAGCATTACACATGTGTGCGTTGCTTTTGGAAGTCAAAATCGCCCCAGGAGCGATTTTGATGGATACGCAAGTTTTGACACACATATGGAAAGGCGCCATAACGGGGAAAAAAGATGGTAAAAAAAATTGTGGATACCTCTTTTGGAAATCCCGTTGAAGTGTATGTATTTATGCAAAGCTACAATCACCTTTTTCGTTGTCCATGTTCTGAACAACTTAAGAAGTGACGCAAACATGCGGTGGGGTTACATGGATCATCCCGGTATTGCGACTTGTGCAGGGGGAGGTGCACTGAATCCCCTCCCACCCAAAAGGCTGCCTTTTTTGTTTGTCGGTAGTGTAATTCGACAGCTATAATTAGAGGTTGTGATTTGGTTGGCGCAACGCTCGTGGACAGGCTGTAGACGCGCGTTACATGCCTCTTCGTCCGCTCCGCCTCGAGCAGAAGCACCCTCTCATTGGCTGAAAAAGAGCCATGTTGGTCGGAAGTGTTTATTTTGTTGGTAGCGATGTGCGACCGTAATGCGTGCATTTCACAGTTGTGTGTGAACCAGCCGGGTTCAGTTCCGACCAAAGGAGAACCCCGTTGCTAGGAAAATTGCGTCTTCTCTTGATCTAGCTCGAGCCTCATAGCGTGTCGTGATTTGCCAAATGCACACGCGCTCGTCGAGCTGCAGAATGTACGTGTAAGTGCGATGCCACCGCTGCAGTTATGGCGTGTAAACAGATTAGGCCATATATACGTGATTAGTTCATCCTTAATTTCTCAACAGAAATAGAAGTTGTGTTCACAAGCTCAGAGAACGGTAGCTGTGCTGGTTATCAGACCAACAGAACACATCTGGCCAAACCGTCTGTACATTTACCGGCTTCTGTCATCGACAACAATGGTAATAAGCCCTGTAAATAACAAGATCGATACATACTACCTACAGCCACTAGATAGGAATTCGTCAGTTGCATTATTAGAATTATAGCGAGATTAATTACTGCGATACGGAGCCCATGAGGGGACAAGCACAATGAGAAGTTTTTTGGGTTTTTTCTTTGTTCCCTCCAAATATTATTTCATTCTCTCAAAATCGTTTTGTTCCCTCAATATATTGATTTCATTCCCTCGAAATATTGTTTTGTGTACTTGGCGCCATTATCGTCACTCGTGGGACAGGAAAACGAGGGATCTCGAAATTATTCGAGAAAGCGAAATAATAATTGAGGGAACGAACTAAAGAAAAAAACTTCTCATTGTGCCTGTCCCCTTAGGGGCTCCGTACTGAGACAACATACGCCTTTCGAAAAAGACAAATAGGCCTAATAAATATTGGTTAGGCATCATTCCAAAATCTTAGCATCCTGCTGGACAATTTGCTTAGCACTTTGCTATGGGCAAGCATATTTAGGCTTTATTTATGTGTATATGTAATAATTTTACTCAACAAATCTAGCCTTTGCTCGAAGATACTTAAAAAGTATAGTCAATCAGAATAATACAATTAACCTTACCTTTAGTATCTTGAGATTTTGTTTCACAAACCAACCCCCAAGAATTTCTCCAGTGCATTCACTAGTGATTACAGAATACACCCAAACCTCTGCTGGTGGTGAGCGTTTTTTTAATCTTGGATGCACTTAAACATACAGGAAAGCAATGCCGCTCTCTGCTTGTGTTCAACATGGAGAGTTTGCACAGCATCATGCCACCTGAAAATTGCGTCGATAACAGGTAATTTTTCTTGGTCATCATTGGGTCCAGTGGTGTAAATGTTTGCCGGAAATTTGGGGGGTTGGGGATTTGTGTGTGTGTGGGGGGCTTGCCCAGCCATGGATATTTGATAAACAGGGGGGGTGACACTAAATACGATGTTCATTATACGGATGTACATCTTTGTATTACATTTATGCCAATTTTTACATCAGAACGGCATTTTTAAGGTTTTTAATAGTTTTACTTTTTGAGTGATATTGAAAATATTTCAGTCGGGAAGTCCAAACATTCCTCACAAACAACTTTATCTTCTTGTTCCCCACGCTAAAGGTTAGGTGGCGATTCAATAGCCCATCCCCCACCTCAAAAAGCTGGGGATATATACATGTATACCCCGAGCCCAGGGATTTCCGCCTATGACTGGGTCTGTGTCGTTTGCTCGCTTGAGCAATCAGCAAACAGCTTCTAGTTACAAGCAGTCTTCGTTTTTACTTGAAGCAAATCGACGCTACCCTTGCTGGTCTTTCTGCTTAGAATTAAAGGGGGTGAGGAAAGTGAAATTAACAAATGTCATTAAAACTCTTACTACTGGTGTAAGGGTGCATACGTGTAATTCGAATGAGGCAAAACCCCTTTTCCTCACTGACCCAATGGGCAACATTTCCGCAGGTGGGGCATAGGGATGGGGCTCGAACAAAGTCAGACCTAAATTTTCGGGGGAGGGGCAAACTTGTTTTTTTGAAGGGTCATTAACTGGGAAAATGTTCATGTACCCTTTTAGAGCCTTCCTGAGGGGTCTGGGATTTTTTACACGCTTTTTGAAGGAAGGGGATTGAAAATAGATTAGTTCAGCTGTCTTCTACAAGTATCTTTGGCCTGTTTTTTGTTTTGTTTTGTTTTTTTGGGGGGGAGGTGCCGGCGTTGTCCCCTGCATCGGCTACGGGATTTACTTTCCTGAATACGTTTGCCCCTGATTGGAGACCTTCTGACTCAAAGCACTGAAAACAGTCAAAAGAAATGCCAGACGGTACAACGCTTGGTAAATCCGTATAACAAGGGAGTGGTCACAGATGTATGATATGTTGGACTCCCGGATCGCTTCCGGATCAGCTTCGGGATAAGCTTCCAAATTTGCAAACCTGTGGATGGCTCATAAACAGTATGCTAGCAACTGCGAAATGCTTACTGTGCGTTTTGATTACCTAAACTTCATATGAAAGGATATATTTGGAATGCCTAACTGGGGTTGGATTATCCAATGAGGCACTATAAACACCGTGCCAAGGAGATACGAAAATACTTGCCATGGTTTACGTTGATACTGCGGTGCGATTCCTTCCTTTTTTTCTTGGAAGGGGGTTCCACCGCTTACTAGCGCCATTACAATCAGTGCTGGTGTATATACACTGGTGCACAGGGCCTATGGAGAAAACTTATTCAGGCACTGCCCTAACTTGATACCGATGTTTTGTTTTTTTTTTGTTTGTTTTTAGTGCGTTCATTTGCGAGGAGCTATCGACGCCATTCCCGCTTATAACTGTGGCACTTATTCCTCCAACATCGCTCCCCTTCGCGGAATCCATGAATATCGAATTCTTTCTGCCAGTAAGTTCACAGTTTCATTCATCAGCCAATATTCAGAAAAAATGATGTATTCAGAGAACTCAATGAACTTCTACGCGTGCATATTACAATCTTTTCATTTCGTTGTTTTGTTTTGTTTGTTTGTTTGTTTGTTTGTTTGTTTGTTTTTCTTATTACACGTGCATCTTAATCCGATTTCAAGATATGTGGGTGCAATGTAACATGATTATTTGCAAGTAAGTCGCCGTTAACTCCAGCTTCACAGTGGTCTGGTGATATCATCGTACCATTCCCATCCATTTTATGAATTCTAGCCGCGGTACTTCACAAAATTGCCCTCAGCGTGACATTGTTTCATACGTACTTGTTTGATTGTATAGGTAACTAAATTTACTCCAGTGTGCGTCTGGGCAGAAGCCATCAGTAGGTAAGTATAAGAAACAAGATAACATGTATGTCTTACGTGTTCTGTATGGCTTGCAAAAATATAGATAATTTGCTAAAGTCAACTTATAGTTCCACAGTAAATTCCTTGTGCGTTTGCAGAGATGGGCAGCCAGGAAGTTACTCGTGGAATACCAGTGGCTGTGACACACTCATTGACACAAAGACATTCTCCATAATTTGTCGGTGCTCCCATCTTACGAGCTTCACTGTCGTGATGAAGGTGACCGACTTTGAGGTATGCCGATTATTTCCACAAGATGTATATTCCTTGTTAGTCGATGAAAAAACAAAATTTTTGAGATGCATGTGTTGCAGTCCCTCGGCAAACTTCGCCCCAATCCCCCAGCATAGCATTGCACATTCGATATTGGGTAAATTTCGTTGCCAAGGACTTTGCACACTCCTATGAATTACACGAGCAAAAAATGTCCTACTTGACTCTTCTTCCAGAATGATGAAAAACATGAGAGGGCACTTCATCTAATCACCATGGCTGGGTGTATTGTGAGCATCCTGTCTGCTTGTCTGACAATCATGATCTACCTTTGTTTGAGGTAAAAATAAAAATAGGGCAAACCCAAGTTATCACTTCAGTGTGTTAGAAATTGGCATGAACTTAATGTAATTTCTCCTCTATGTACCCCCTTGACTGGCTTTCGTAAATATTAAGATCGTTATACAGTATCCATCACATCACCATTTTAGCTCTATGGCCATGCAATATGCGTATTATGTGCCACGTGTACAGAGTTGGACTGATGATTAAAAATTCAGCCTTCTGTGCACGTACTTATGGACTGTCCCTGGTATTTTTGGAAGCTGGCAATTGGGCGTATCAGCGAACTATATAGCCTACACTTGCAGTGGCATTTCTGCATTCCTTTTATTGTTTGAAAGTGATTGTGCGTATTTCTTTCCTCACCAGAATCCTGAAGGAAGAGAAAGTGATTCATGTCCAATTGCTCCTTGCGATCGCCGTAGCACAGCTCATATTTCTCTTTGGTATTGACCAAACTGAAAACCAGGTGGGTTAATTTGGCTCAGAATGTCACAAAGTTCGCCAAAGGTTATGGCTTTTAGCCCGCTGGGTCGTCTCTCTGAGATCGTCACATAAACGCTTTGGAACTGTCTCTCCTGACGTGTGGATTCATCAAGGCATGGCATCTGTAACGATAACCGTGACTTTTATAAGGTAGTTTGGCGTCTTTGAAACGAGCCATGGCTTACTGCGACTCCGTCCAGACTATGGCATGTATTGACATTGTGACCCAACATGGCCCGGGACGTAAAATCTGTGACGCGAATCTTAACAGTGCATCAGCCTTGAGCAGAAGCATCCCCTCTCATCGGTTGAAAAGAGTTGGAGGGGGCGTTCATCTTGTTGCACGCGTTTCAAAGTCGTTTGTGAACCAGCAAAGTACAGTAGTCCAAAAAGTGCAAAAGGAGCCTTCGTTGCCATGAAAATTGCGCCCGCTGTTGTCCTGCTTAGGTTGTACACAGGTAGTCTTGGCATTTTCTGACGTGGGCCTTCAAGCGTGTCTAAAGTCTTAACATCGGTGAACCTTTTCTGGATGTCCTGAACTCTTATCTCGGTAGCTGTGACTTGACTTCAAAACTTCTGTGACTCTAGCAGCGCCGACCTGGATCAAGAGAGGCCGGGGTTTTCCTAGCGACGGAGGCTCCTTTGGTAGGAACTACACCTCACTGGTTCACAAACGACTATGAAATGCACTCGTTACGGGCGCATCGCCAATAAAATGAATACTCCCGATAACCCAAATAAATTACTCTGTTCAACCGATGAGGGGGTGCTTCTACCCAAGGCAGATTCTTCTTACATCTGTTCTTTGCAGGTATTGTGCACCATCATAGCCGTTTCTCTCTTCTACTTTATGAGTTCCACCTTCACCTGGATGTTAATGGAGGTTACCAATCTTTACATGAACGTGGTCAAAGTATTTACTTCTGGGACAAACATGAAAGTTTACTTCCTGGCAGGATGGGGTGAGGACATCAGATTATACAGCCTGGTTCCTGGTATTCTCTTCCTTATCGTCACCATTTTCCTGAAGAGATAAATTTCGCTCAAAATCATCACTTTATCATATTTTTGGGGTGGGGTGGCGCAATATCTGATGCCAACAATTTGGGCAAATCCTTTGACCGATTCTGAAGAAATTAGCTGGTTCACGATTATCTCTACGGGCCAAAAATTCAGTAACCGCATTTTTAATTTTCCACAGAGACAAATTTTAACTTATAGAGTCTATATAAAGTGTACGATTAACATTGAAATTATGGCTTTGAGAGTACAATTTCTAGCATTACGTGGCACTTTAAAGAAATACGCGTAAACTTTCACGCAGAGTACTAGGTTGATCAACTGCTTAAGCTGTCCCTCTCTACGAGACCTGTTTTGAAAAGTAATCCGTTTCACAGTTTTGTCAACAGGTCTGTTTCGTGCTACATAGCGGTGACGTGTTCACAGAGATTTGTCTTTGTCGTAATTGCAACCCCTTCCCCCTTTTTTAAGTAGAAGATTGATAAATAAGAATCTACCTTGTTGAAAGAAATTAAACAGGCATCTGTTCGTTTATTTCCTTTAGGCTTACCTTTGATTCAAGTTTCAGTTTCGTATGGCGTGTCTGCAAGCAAGCTGCTCAGCACTCAATAGTAAGTTCCTACACCTTGCTCTCAATGCTCTTAAGTACAATGAAGACTAAAGATTTTTCCTCGTTTGCAATGTGTAAAAGCGTTCACGGTTTCACCTTTTTCCTTTTTGGTTATTATTATGCAGTTGTTGGCTATCGGTACAAAGTGGCGTTATTTGGGCATTCGTGGGACCGGCTCTGATCATCGTTGCGGTAAGAACTACAGAGTCATTTTTTTAAGCAAGCCAGTTTGACAGCTATGCTGCATGAGCACAGTATGCAAATCGAAATCTTGTGATACTGTGGTATCCGCCTATCTGGGGTTCTTGTCTAATGTGGCAAAGCGACCAACTAATTACAAAGAAGTGTTTTGTCACAGTTCATTTGAATACCCTGTAACTCGGCTTAAGACTTAACAACTTGTGCTGGACTTGTGATTAGCCTATTTGAGGTATGGCAGACACAATAGGAGGGCGCTATTTGGTTTGGGCTTTTTTCGTTTGTGTTTACTCCAAATTACTCCACTTCTTATAGCGTCCTGATATCGTGCCCACCATGCTTCAAAGCGGTTAATGGATCTTCAGGGGCTTGAGATTGGCTCAATTGCAAAAGTACCCAACACTACTATAACAAAGTTCACATGTAGGGAACTTTCAATTATTATATCACTGATAATAAATCACTCAATAACCTTCGGACCAATTTGCATGATTTTTCTTACATGCGTACATGCCGAAAAAGTTACAATGTATGCCCAAGCAGAAATCTATAGTTGTTCCTTTGCACAGGCGTTGAAATATTTAACTGGCTGAAGTCCAATTCATACTTGACGTCACGGAATATTTGCAGCAAATTTTCGCTGGAGTTGAATTGGATCCAACTGTTGCGAATTCGTAGCGCGAATACTTGACTGACGTCACACACTCGCGTCTGTGTTCGCTTTCGCGCCAAGTATGAACCAGTCTTTACTCGGGTGGACTCCAAGTCTGATAAGCTAAAGTTTAATTTAAGGAAATCGAAAAAGACTCCATAATCCCCCAAAATGAACTGATGCGGAAAAAAATGAAGTAATGATAAGCTTCTGGGTCTTGTCATCTTGTCAGTGTGTCTTGTTTCAGATATTCAAATAATTTATTTGCATTTTGCAGATCAATACGGTGATGTTGGTGGCCGTTTTATGGGAGATCAGTCGGATTCTTAAACGCGATATCACCAATTTGAAGGCAGGGAAATTCAGGTAAGGATATGTGGTGAAGAAATCTCTCCTACGTTCAAGCAGCCACGCAGTTAAGTACAATATGCATCGCCGAACACCCTAATTTACTGGTTCTTATGGCTTAGAACAGCTTCTCAGGGGCTGGGGCCAAAATGACCGTTTCCAGATTTGGTGCAAAGGAATCCGGTTCATGCGCAGGTCCATGTCACCCTACAAGGAAATAACTCATTCTCTACCAATTCCAATTTTATTTCATTTCATTGGTTCTTTATTTCTGAGAGATGTAACCCGTTTTCTGTTCCCAACTCTGTCCTCACCACAACTAAAATACAAGTTAAGACTATAGATGGAATCATATTCCCTGATTAGTGTTACAAAGAGCACCATATTCTGCTCCCTTGTCAGGACATTGGCCAAGGCGCTGTTGGTCTTCACTCCTATGGTCGGTCTACCATGGTTGTTCGGCCTTCTTGCTTTCAACACCCATCTTATCGTCTTTGATTACATCTTCACTGTACTTAACAGTTTCCAGGTAACGATTTCAAATCAAACCCTTAACCAGTGTGGCCTCCTCAGCCAACTGAAATTAAGAAATCCTACATTTTGGATTTTTAATCGCCAAATTGGGAAGGGCCAAGAGAAAATGAAGAGTTCAGCTCATTTAATTAAAAACACCAAAGACCGATTAATTCAAGTGAACAATACATTTAGATTCTTCATCGATTCTTCCAGCGGGGCGCTGACGTCGCATCAATTATGTGGTAATGCAACCGCCGGGTAAAGACAAATTTCGTTTCTTTCTACACATTTTCAGGGTTTGGTGCTTTTTTCAATCTTCATTCTTGGCAACAGAGAGGTAAGTCATGGAATTTTAAATTCCTCCTCAGAACACCCAACCCCAGCAAAAGTAATACAGGCGAATTTCTACTAAGCTGCCTACATGTATATCTATGCATCCTGTCGTATTCGACCGATACCCCTCCACCAAACCCATGCTCCGCCCCACGGACGTCTTATAAAAGAAAATTCTGGACTTGGGATGGATTTTACCGTCTGAAAGAATCAGCGTTCATCTTCTCGTGCCGAATACAAAGGCGATGCATACTGTGTTACTCTCAACCACCTGCCCGTGTTGCGCTATATCCAGCAAGAAATGAGACTGTGACCAACACAAAGCAGGTTTGGGGATTTCTCTCCGTCTCATATCTTGCTTCGTCTGTGTTGCGCACTTATAAGCACACTCAGTGCAGTTGTACACACATTATGCGCAAGAGGAAGAGACGCGAGTATGTATCCAGCACTGAGGGTGTGGACTGCACAAATTTCACGTGGCCCAACCCCGTGCACGTTAATGAATAGAACAAAGGTGTGCACTCAGGCGTAGGTTAACAGCAAGAGCGTCATAGACTCGGGACTCCAGGTTCGGTGTAACAATGGGAAATAGACTCACAACTGTAGATTCGTGCAAGAATGTAGATTCTTAGCACGAATCTACAGTTCCTCGTCCATTCTCCTTGAATTATCTTGTACAGAGGTCCACATTATGTAAGCCGCGCCTGCAGATTGCACCGTGCCGCCTACGTCTGATCGAGCATGGTAATTTCCACGGTCATAACGGCGAAATGGGTTCTGTACTATTGACAAGCGTCAAGAGATCTACGTCTTCAGGAAGATCGAGTTCTTTTCTGAGGAACAAATAAGGCCAGCTCATAACATGTTCAATGCCAGCAAATCCGCCAATGTAACTTTCATCTATAGCGTGCAACGTTAACATTAATTCGCGTATAAAGATATATTTATTCCTAGGCGTGCCAAATTAACATTTACTCCCGAAATTATTAACAGAGATATCTCTATAGATACTATAGATCGAAATATCTGTATACGCGGATTAAATGTTAACTTTGCAAGCCCTAGTCATCCTCAGTAGCCGTGTTGCTAAAATAGGACTACTGGTTTTGACTCTAGTTAGTGTCAGCATACTATTATTTCTAAGTGTTACCAGCCACAAAAATAACCATTTATATCCCACAAAGTTCACGCTTTCACTCCTTTCCTGCTTATTCAGGTGCGAGGAAAAATCCGCGGTCGGGTAGCCGATGCCTACAGTACAAGTGCCGGCACAAGGACTATGCATGGCGTCGGCCGTGGAACTAGAGCTGGCGGCATGCAGCTGACATCACATGGGGCGACGCCGCGCATGCTCACGATCTCAAACACAACTCCCTCTCAACGATTTTAAGAGCAAAATATGATGGAAAAGAGCAGTGAGTGGTAATGACTCGAGTCAATGACTCTACTCAAGTCCAACTCGAGTCACAATTCCTGGCGATCCGAGTTCCAACGGGCGACTCAGTCGTAATGATCAAATAACTCGACTCGAGCCCCCGCCCCCCGCCATCAAAAGACTGGACTCGAATGAAAGCTTATACGACTCGAGTCCTGGTAAAGAAAACAGCTCTGCGAAAAGCATGTTCAATAATTTACGGTGCCAATTTATCGTTATCGTGTCATGTCGCGAATTCATGTACGGTATTCTAAATGCTTTCTTTAAAGAGTGGCCGTGGACTTCTCTTGTCCTCCCTCCATGGTACAACAAACATACATCATGTCATGGACTCCCACCTTGTGGTTGTGTAGCATGTAATGCCAACCCGGAACCAGACTTAAATATCCATTTTTCAATTTGTGGTTTCATTATTGCCTTAGCGATATCTCATTAAGTGGGGCTGTCGTTGGGACACCTGGTAAGTTTATGCCTTGATTAAAAAAAATACGTTTCGATTTTAAAACACAAATAGCCGAAAGCCCACATTTACATAAATTATTTTGTTTGGACTCATCTTTTGCCTCCTTCATTGGATAACATTTACTGGAACCCTTTTTATTTTTAGGAATAAAAGCAGCTAATAAAACCTATGTGATTTAAACAAGGCCCAAAGTAGCTTTTTCTATTGTGTATATTTTGTTGTATTGTTAAATTACTTGTGACTCGACCTGAGCTAATCATTTGACTCGACTGCACACTGTGACTCGACTCAACCTGTTTACCTAATGACTTGACTCGAGTCACTACATGAAAATGACTCTACTTGACTCACAACTCTGAGAGAACACCATCTCTAAAACCAGTGCAAGCTGCACCCTTGCGGTTTTCCTGACAGTCATCGTGAGAATGTGTGCAGGCGTGGCATAAAGTAGCCTACATAGTGTGGACCTCTGCACAAAAGAAGTCGAAATAATGTCGGGTGCGATGGCGTAGTGGGGACTCACACACGTCCACACAATGTTTCCCCCTCTCTGAAAAACAGTTTCAGTTGCATTTTGGGGTCAAGGTTATCGGTAGCAAAATGAAGAGAAAGAGCCCAGGAAATCATCATCAAAATCCAGCTCGAAGGAGTCATTCTAGTTGGACAAAAAGGAACATACTCCTCAAGACCTTGGGTGAGACAACTTGGCCAACGTTCAGTGCGTACTTGCGTTGGCAATAAAACGATAGTCTCTTTTCGGTTTTTTTTGGGGGGGCTCACTAATTCATCAAGTTCAACGGGTATTTTTTCTTCATTTTGGCAAGTCCTCTCAAAGAGGGTTGTTTTAGGGTCAGGAATCGCATCCAGTTTGCAGGAGAAAGTAGTGCATGTGTTTCTCCATTCGAGAAAAGCACAAAAATGCTAACACGTTTTGATCAGGGAATTGGTCATGGAATCACCGCTTCCTGAATTCGGACTGCAATCCCATAAACGGCGATTTCGCACTACCAACTGAAATACTCGAAAGAGTAGAATTTAAAGTGAATGGGGAGGAGTTCTCAGAACATGTGTGGTCAAATATTCGACTGGCCCATGCCCATGTCCAAATAAGTGTCAATAAACAGCAACTTACTCTATACACTACGCCCCAAGGCTGCTTGTGTAAAACAACCAAAAAAAAGTTCAGTGGAAAATACAGGGTATCTACATAAAAAGTACACCGAAATAAAAATTACTGTGTAATAGCAAAACTATTTTTATATATGGGAAAGGGAAATACATCTCTAGAAAGGGCAGAATGCCCTCTTTGCAATGGTATACAGCTTGTGATGTTATTGATACAGATGAGTGAACAAACTAGACCGGTGTGAAGGGTACTGAAATTGGCACTGACAAGTTTGCATATGCGATTAACAAGGCTTTAAGGACGCATTCTTTAACACAAGGAATGTACCTAAATCAATCTTATCTGTACTTTGGAAATATGTAATTTCATTATTTATTTTAAGGAACAATGACACGAACTTTTTCGTGCACGTTTAAACTCCACTTCTATGTATCAAACTATTTTAGTTAAATGACCTACCAATTTTTCCAGACGAGTGAGGGCGCTGTTCGGGGTGAGATTGACAAATGATAAAAATAGCTGGAAAAAAGCTGGAAAAGGCATAAAGAAGCTGAACTGTGAAAATCTCCTGCACTTAAATTCGTACACAGCCGGGGGGGAGCTGAAATCCAAAACAAAACAAAAAAAGCCGAAATCAGCTTAAAAGCTGGGACATCTCACTCCTGGCTGTTAGTGTGATCCAGTAGGATACAGTTCAGTTTTCATGTTTGCATGTTCAAAGTTACAACCCCACAAATGCTCTTGAAATCAATTATATGAGAGAATATTGCTCGCTGACTTGTTGCCACGTACTTACTTAACAATAAATTGTCCAAGGAAATGGAAATCTTCGATATAAAAACCTAGCATTTGTTTGTGCACACATCAATGCAACATGGAGGTTCAGTGCCTCAGATGACATCACAAGTTTGCTCATGAACACGCACTTCAAGTATAAAAAGCAGGAAAAAAACCAAGACAAAAATAGCAAAGCAAACCTAAATTTAAAAACAAGGCTGATTGAAAAACAAACGTGCAGTGTTGAGGATTTCAGTAAAATGTTTATATTGCATGGTCCTTTAACAACATACAGGTATATCGATATTAAACAGAACTGAGGCGTCACTACGAGGTGTCAAAACCCCACTCCCCATTCGCCCGTTATGTTGGCAAAATCTTTTCTGCAAATTGTACTCCAATTTCCTACAACAAAAGGGGATGCACGCCATGCTGCCAAATTCTTTCCACTGGCTGGCACATCCCAACAAATGTTTCCTGGATCTATGGTTCGTGCCTTTGGGAATTTTCGAATCCGTAATACATTCAAATCGGCGCCCCTGGTTGGAATTGAAAAGATCTGTTTATAAAATCGACAAGAGCAGTGTACTAAAAGAGCTCCATCATGAGTGTCACTGTAGGAAAAAAAACTGTGGCAGGTGTATGCCCCACCTGCTATGGCCACACGCTCTACTTTCCACGTTTCCAAAACCTATAAGCTGGCGCATACACCTACAATATACAGCTTTGGAACTGACTGCAGCACACGTGTGAAAAAAACATAAACAATCTTAAACAGGCGAATGTGAACACGAAGCCAATCTGACGTCCCAAAGTCTTAGCAACAACATTTCACATAGTTGAAATTTGTTCAACTTTTTCAAATTCGCAGCGCGTTTGTTTGATCCGACGTCACAAATTCGCGTTTGTGTCAGCGTTCACGACAAGTACATTTATGAACCAGCCTTGACAATCACTCCACGCAGACCTTTTTTGAAGGGGTTTCTCTCTGACCTCACGGTCATTTAACTCTACAGACAAGCTGGGATTATTCCTTTCATTCTGAACAAGAAACGTCCCCAACGTAACTAAGTAAGTGACTGACCGACAGGTAAATCAATAAATGCCAAATTAAATAAATTAATGAATAAATCAATCGATTACACCAATCAGTAAGTCAGTCAAACCAATGTCAAATACCCAGTTTTTGTTAATACGGAAGTATTCCTGAAGGCGACAAATGAAACAGATTGAAGCAACCAGGCAAACAACAAACTATCGGATGAAAGAAGAGGATAATGGCAGAAATAATGACCACGCTTATACATTCATGAATAGCCTAAATTACACAGCATTATAAAACTTATTAAATAAAACGAATGCTGAAATAAACACCCAAAGCCGCCCCATTAAATTCAGAGCACCGTGTGGATTGGAAGTAAACCTTCCCAAAAGAGAGGGAAACCCATTTTAGATCCGCATTTGCATTGATAAAGTCCAAACTCGTCACCGCTTGTCTGAATACAAAAACCACACTATGAATGTCTAGCCCTTTCCTTATACTATTTCATACATCGGTAAGTATTTATACTTTTATAATTTACAAAGTGAAGCACAATATCCCTTGAACACTGACATATTTTTGTTCTATTCCTTTAGCAAGTTACTGGCCTTCCTCGTTTGGGAACTAAACGTATGATTAAAGGTTATTGAATTATTATTATTTAGTTTTGTTTGTATTTCCTTTTTTTTTTTTTTTTGGTTTGCTTCACATTTTACACATTATTGCAAGTCCCAATAACACAGTAAGCCTAGATGCCAATATCTTTAATTTTTTGGAGGTTACATTTCTTAAATGAACGACCACCTGCAAAGCTCTACCCTGTAGGTTCATCATCTAAGATCATACCAAAGTTGTACCCCCCCCGCAGCCCAACCTCCCCCGACAGCGACTCTCAGCTACATTGCTTAAGCCCTCCGACTTGAGACGCTACGAGCTGGTTAGTTTCCTGCCTACGTACTTTGCTTTCACCTGCTTTCATCTTTAAAAATATTCTCAAGATTACAGGGTCCTTGGAATTCATCTTCAACGCTCAGATTCTGGACATGGCCGCAGTATGAGCATCACAAGTGACAGCTGACACAAAGACACATCATTTTATTTCCCAATGGAAATTGGAGTCTATGGGACTGACAGTCAACGGCCAAAAGGGGGCTCTGAAAAGGAAAGGAATAATTCTAAATTCAACATTTGGCCCCAAACAGCTGATAATCAAGCTAGTTTGGCTACGAATCTACAAAATCGATTTTAAAATTGCATCTAAAATGTTTTACTTCAATTCATGGAGATAAAAAGTCTAAACCGTATATTTACGTTGCGGTTTGTAACATATCCATTGACTTTACATTCATTTACCATTAACGGATACATACAATTAAACACATCATGTTTATATCAAGCAGGTCCCAAGTCTTTGTTTCTGTTTGTTTGCCATTACTGCGAAGTACATGTACCTGTTTAACAAGGTAATTTGTAAAGTCCCGAAGGATCTTGTTATATCATATTCCATTGTAACTGGTAATGACTAGGAAGTTATACATTAGGTACAATATAGTACATACTGTACATGTATGTACTTGTAAACACATATATAAAACTCCACATTAAGCTGACGAACAAACCAATCACGGTCCAACGTCGGTAAGAAAAAAATGAAGGACAACGTTCACTGCTGTATTTACCATGATTCCACAAGAACTTTCCACTGTCCCGTATACTCTAAAAACGCTGCTGAGCACTAAAATATTTAAACATATTTAAAACGTTGATAGCAAGAAAGTATTTACGAAGTACTAAATCACTGAACAGTTTGGAGGGTTAATCTTGACCCCTTTCCAACAATTGGTAAGTTAAGCGTGGTCGCCATGTGGTCAACTGTAACGCAGGTGGTCCGCAAGACGTCAACATAAGACAGTCGCTGGAGAGACGCCGCGCGACGTCATTCCATCAGAAAATTGAACAAAATGACGCCCGAAACTCGGAAAATCGAGGCAAAACAATGCCCTTTTCAGGTGGCAGCGTTGCTTCTTGAAATCAAAACGATACTCCACTTTGATGCAATTTGTTAAAGGTCAGCTATTTTGTTGACGATTGGGGCTGCATATGCAAGTAATAAGGAGAAAATGGACAAAATGAGTGGTACTAAGCGAGAGAAACATCGTGGTACGCCCGCCATGCCAGCGTGCGTGTTTTTATAGGCCTACTCAGACAGTCGGGCTCAACCTCGCCGATCCATCTGGGGCTGGTTTGCCTTACGTCTTGGTTATCGGCGACACTTCCCTTTGACATGTTTCCATTTGTCTGCGTTGCATTTTGCGCCTTGATTGCGTTGCTCTTTGCATTTCTTACGTCGATATGGAAACCAGGCTTTACTGGAGTAACTCTGAGGCTGTGAAGTATATACCCAGCCGAAATGCTATATACATGTAGGTTCGCTTCATATATTACTCTCCACTACATGGAATACAGAAAACGTTATTTTAAGAAAAATGAAAAAATATAGTGTAATGCACATTTTTATAACCAGGGGCAAAAAGTGTCAGCATAACAAAAATATTTCAATGGTCTGTCTACTTTAGGAATGCATGTATTTCAAACCCAGACAAAGTCTTTATAACCAATTCGCCAGGACGTGTAACAATCTAGTAACCTGGTAGACGTTCTCAATATTTTCAGTTGTGCTCGGATGAAAAAAAAAAAAATAAAGGAATAAAGAAACTTCTTTCAAACTGTTTCGAAGATGCCATACAAACGGTTTCAAATTATGACAATAAAAAAGGTTCACGAAACAAAAAACAAAAAATAAATAAAAACAAAAACAGTTAAACAAAGATTTTTTTGCGAGGGGATCAAAATTTCAGATTTACATGCATTTGAAAAGTTGACTTTGAACTTCCCCGTATCGGCGCAGGGACAAATACCCTGAATCGCAGCTTTATGGCAAAGTGGGGATTAAATACTATAATTCTTGTCTTCTTTTTGAATCAATACTTTCTTTCAGGGGAGGGTGGGTTTGGAGAGGAAGTAAGGGAGGGACTTGTCTGAACGCTGAAAGTGTCATGCGTTTAGGTAAACATCAGAAATAAATAAAAGCCGCAGAGAGCGACCATGCAAGTAAACTGCTTTTCTTGTATTTCCCTGAGTTGGCGCAAAAGAATTTCTGACATTTCTAGATAATTCTTCAGACTTCTTTCCACCTTATTGAATGAAGTAATTCCACGCACCATCGGGTGTTAGCGTTTACGACTACAGAGATATCTTAGGTCCCAATCCTTTGCTCTTAATTGTTTCCATTTCTGATAATAAATAGATCCACTAGATGATAAAACAATGTGATCTGTTAATAGGTTTGACTGTTCGATGTATACAAAATGTGCCATGCGACAGTTCTATACATAAGACATCTTAGTTGCATTGGAGTGATCTTGACCATTATGGGGAAAAGATGCTACCCGTTGAGAGTTAAGTTTCCTTCCGTGTCGGGATATTTACCGAGGAAATGTGCAGCAGCCAATTTTCGCCGATTTCACACGAAAGGATGGAAGTGTTGTTAACTACCGCCCAAAATTCGAAATGGCCGATTTTACTGATCGTAGTCAAGATTAATTCCGCGCGCGTCTAATATCGAGATTTATATGGCAAATTCAATGTTTCACTCCAAATAGTTTAAAATACTGCTTCACAATTTTAAAAACAAATGTGTTTTTTCTTTTAACGGTATAAAAGGAACAACTTCTGTTGGGAACTTGATCATCCTTATCCATGACGTTCAGGATGTTTAAAAAATTGTAAAACTTAACACTATGTTGTGAAGTAAATCCCACGTGAAGTCAATCGCAAGTACACCAAAACTTTGCCGCGCAAAGTCGAAGCCAGGTGATGCCGAGTCTTGTGAAATCGGCTGCAAGAGGGTCAAGGAATTTGGATGTAGCAAACAATGATGCATGTTTGAATTATTTCAGAGAGACGACACAGCGTGCTGCTGAGGAATCATTCAATTTCGTACACCCAGTCGCTCTCCGTTCTGCCAAACTGTTGACAAAAAGAAATACAGAGAATTCCACAATCGGAAACGTGTGGATAAAAAAAAAGAAAGACATCTGGGAAATAAAATGCTGACATGACTGAAAATGCCATCGTAAGAAAAAGTTGACAATTCTACTTAACACAATAAATACCCCAATTGAGTGAAGTAGTAAAATACGATCATGATTCTACAAAAACGAAGACCCACATGAGATCGCTTTGTGCCACGCAGTCATGGAACAATTTTGAAACACCAAAAAGCTGGAGAAAATGCGTCTATAAATTTACAGGCGGGGGTTAGGTGACCAATCGTTTCGGTTACAGAAGGGGCAGAATCTCTACATCGAACTTCCCACTAACATTCGTTCAATACCGTCAATTCATAATAGTGCGCCTCCAAGAGTTTGCAACGCGTTGACAAATCACTGCGCGCGAAATCTGTCAGCTCTTTCCAAACGCGCATCGTGTCGATAGATTTCGTGCACTGTAATTGGTGAACGCATCACAAACTCTTGGAGGCGCACTATTGTGAATCGCCCACATTCGGCACTTCTATTTACCATTCCCTTTGTTCAGAATCACGTGACTTCGAAATGAGCCACTGTAATGGCCACAATATACAAAGAAACATCAATTGCACAGTTGAAGAACTGATAAAAACCTATTGAAACACAACCTTGCCTCCTTTTACAAATAAATCTTACAAACCAATCTTAAATTTTGTTCTTAGCAAAAGCTGACACGCTCGCAGAACAGCGGTCGTCAGAATTAGGTCAACCGGCATGCCCTTTGATTCGCTGCCATCAAGGTATCCGCCCGAACTGCGGTTTATTCAAGCGACAAAACCCCAAGGGACCACGTATACAGGAAAAGTACATATATCACTAAAAGAGGCAACGTTCATGACTTGTCAGTGCGCTGACTATACACTGTGTCTCAAAGCAAAAATGGACAAGCGAAAGTAATGTCTTTTTTTAACCGCCAACTGGATATATTCGTAACTTACAAGGGGACAGTATTTATTTCCAAGGAAAATGTATTTACTTCCAGTATTTGCTTGCACGGTTTTTCTGGGAGTTGGGTTGGGGTGTCATTATTCCAAAGATCGAAAAAATCCTTTTTAAGACGACCGACAACAAACAAGTCACGATCAGTACAAACAACTGCAATCTCTGGCGAGCAGTTGAACCGTGGGAACCATCATTCGCGTCTGACAGACCGACGGAGAATCTCCCAAGTTTGAGCAGAGTTAAGGGGTTTCTCTTTTGATAATGGACGTGCGAAATATATGACACTTTTGCAAAAAGAAAAAGGTCACAGTATCATGAAAACACACTTCCTTAAAGAAACGAGGTTGAATTGGGCATTTTCCATATCAACAATGATCTCCATTCGACGAAGTCAGTCAAGTCAGCAGCGAATTTCAATAAAATCCGGATGTGCTTTTCTCTCCTAATTCGGTTTTAGCTTTGGTCAGATTTTGGAAAGCCATTTGAAACAGTCACTGTACGTGTTTCCAGCAGCTGTGAAGGGTAACACGTTCTTCTTCATAAATAGATATCTCACAAGGATAGCAAGGGAAAACTGCAGAGCATGGTCCGGCCATGGAGGTAGCTCGGTAATAGTCCGACACATGCGCACGAACCTGACGCACCTATGAGGCATCTCAAGCATAGTGCGTTACCCTTGCTGATGGTAACCTGCCTGACAGAAAAACTGCGACCGAAACCACGTCTGTGACCAGGGTCTGCCCTTGCTCTGTGGTGAGAGAACCGCAAGCTTTGGGAGCCTACTTGTTTGTTTACTGCGTGGCCTTTCAAAGCTTGAATGAGATCATTGCCAAACAAAAGGTCTGCAGCAAGGGGGTTGTGCACGCACGTCGGTGTATATCCAAGCAAGTATTTCACAAACGACCTTGGGCCCAGATAAAACGATAACTCGCCCATACACACGTACAATTATTCAACTGAGCTACACTAATAGCCGGGCCGCACGGCACACATTCTGGTGAGCTCAGTCGTGTCGAGCTCCCAAACATTTTCGGGATTTGAAGAATCCGTCAGCTTAGAATTTAGATTGTATCTGCGGGCCACTGTGTAATTCTGTAGCTTTTTCATTCCACGTCTCGCCATGGATTTCTGTTTTCAAAAGCCGAAATGTATGGATTTTCCTTTTAATGAAATTAAAGTAGTTCTTGCCTTTCCGATTGTGGTTTTACAGAATAGTTCGTCAGTCACCCATTCAGGCGTATTCTGCCACTTTCCACCGAGGTTATCACATACTTTTCAGGCCAACTTACACTATCATCTTCGAGGGTGGTCATTGCATTGCAGACAGCAAATCGCCAATATGTTTCATGCACATTAGTGCAATCTATGTCCCAATCAAAGACAGTCGCACAACTGTGTGGCAATGCACCAAAGTATGCCCACTATATACCAACAATAACACATGAAAACATTGGGGCCAGCACGGAGAGGAGTTCTCTATCTGGTTCGTAACTTCGTCACAAAGGCAGACGCGCCACAGTTTGCAGCCTCCCATTGGACGATCGCTGAAGTTCCATGTAAACGGCAATCAACGCATTTCACTGCAGTGGAGTGGGTGTGGTTTAAACTGAAGTGACGTCACACTTGCGAACCGGATTTAGATAAAACCACTTAAGCTTCACTGGTCATCCCGATGGCCCCTTTCCATTGTGGAAAGCACTGTGCTGGGTTTTGTACAGAGCGTCTGTCACCGAACATTGGTTCCAGGCAGTAGTAACAGTAATGCCTGCCGCCATTGGTGAGGGCCACCGCATGACTAGGTGACAAAGTAACCCATGGTCACCAGATTCATCTTTAGACAGGTCTTCTATTACTTGCTTTTGGTTTTTAAATATAATACATCCGTATACCTCGCTATAGACAGATATGGTGACAGTGGAAACACTGCCAATGGTCAGTTCTTGTGGTCCCTGTGCCAGTGATCACCAGGGTTACTGTACACATGCACCGTCGGAATTTCTCCATAATGGTTTCTACCATTAAAGCGTGCGCCGCGAGTGTCCAGTGAAACGTCGCCATGATTGTTTCGAACCAAACAATTCAATCTCACGTCATTCCACGCGAAGCCAATGGCGGGGAAGTATTGAAAACGAAGGCTCGGAGATTACTTGCAATGGCTTTTGGATGTGTGTGCTTCATGCACAATTTTCTCCCTTTTTAAGGTTTTGGTATAGCCTTTTTTTCGATTTGAAAAGGATGTCTCTTTTCAAAGAACACTACCACACACGAAAATGTAATGCTGAACAATAAATTCACAGCGATATTGTAAAGAGGTCTTTCGGGGGCAAACAGTTAATGGAAGATTATAATAATTCCATCAACTGCGACGTTATTTTCAAGAAACTAATAGACCTAAAACATAATGACGTAGTGAAATGTTTACCGCAATGTATTGTGAGTAAAAGTAAAACGCGGGGATAGAAATCAAAGATGGCGGACACGATCATCAGCCATGCGAGCCTTCGCCTGACTTTAGACGGAGCGAACTTGCGGGTTCGTGGAAGCTTGAAAAAAAAATGCAGCTCTGGCGTTCGCCACGTGCTTGATACACACAATGGCAAACAACAATTAACACGAACCATTTTGGAAATACAGGTATTCTCAATCCCAGGATCTTTTCTGACAATTGTCGATGCGCACGATGTTCTAGCAATGGCGTGCGTACGGTACTCACGCTACTGCTAGCACATCCCTTCCTTTCACTCGTAATGCAACACGGTAAGCATAGCGTTACGTCATTGGGTTTTAGATTTTTACACAGAAACGGCCTACGTCTTGTGTTCTCACCAACTTAAGTCCAATTTTCGACTGCACCTAAAACAGCAATGAAGAGGAGTCAAGGCTCTGTACCTGTATATCATTGAGCTCATTGTACAGTCTGACGGCTAGGTTGGCACCGTCGTCCTTCGTTGGGATCTGCAAATCCTCACCTTGGTAGAGTATGCTGGAGACAGGGCACACGACACAAGCTGTGCCAGCACCAAACATCTCATAGATCTACAGCAACACAGGGGAAATACACAGTAATCATGGACAACAGTGTATATAATTTTTCCAACTTTACTTTCCCATAATTCAATATTCCCTAATCTGATCTGAACCAAACTTTGTATGTTTTCATTTTAGGCCCTAAACTACCATCTCTCAAAATATGGA